TTCCTCTCTGGCAGGGGCACCCCGGGACTGTGGGCCTGGTCCCGGTCCCCATTTTGCTGATGAGAAACAGGCCCAGAGAAGCAGGGGGGAGCCCAGGTCCCTGGGGCCAGGGCCGGCCACAGTCCGTGCAGGACACCCTCCCACACTGCTGCCCACAGAGAGGCCACCGCCGGCTGGGCTGCAGGGGCCTGGGAGACCCTAGAGCAGGGTCCTCAAACTTTTAAAACAGGGGGCCAGTTCACTGTCCCTCAGACCGTTGGAGGGTGCACACTGTGGGCCCGGGACCAGTCAGCTGCTAAGCAGGACAGGCAGTGGCAGCAAAAACACCCAGAGGGCCGGATAAATGTGCTAGGCGGCCGTATGTGGCCCTCGGGCCTACCCTCGAAGGTTGGGGGAGGGGGTGCTACCTCCCGGGGAGCCCAGGCTGGGGAGTCACGGGGTCTCACCACCCTGAACCTCGGTGGGGTTGGAGAGGCTGGGTGGACCCCGCGCCTGGGCTGGGCTGCTGGCAGACTTGGGGGTGCTGCCCTCAACATGGGCCAGGGAGGCTAGAACCCCCCACACTGTGGGGTCTGCAGCCTCCTGCTCCAGGCAGTGCTGGGCTCTGGCTGGTCCAAGCTCGAGGGTCAAAGGAGATGGGGCCGTGGCCCCGGTGCCCAGGCCAGAGGGTCAGAGAGACGCCAGGGATGGGCGGGAGCTGTGGAAGTGGGAACAGGGGAGGGAGCTGTGGGGGCCGCGTGCCGCGTGCACGCTTGTGTGGCCATTGTGGGGGCCACGTGTCTGTGTGTGGGTGGGGGGCTCAGCCCCATGGCGGCAGGGACCCCCTTCCATCCCCCCACAGGTAGGAGGGGTCGCAGCAGAGCAGCTGGCACGCGTGATGGTCTAGGGCAGAACGGGACAGCCACCAGCGCTGGGGACCACCCGGGACACACCCCCAGCCCCGGACACTGACCCAGCACCGAGGGTGGCACACGTGGGCTCCACACCCAGGGCCAGGTGCCCGCCCTGCAGGGAAGCACCCCCAGCCCTCCGCCACCGTCCGTGGGCAGCCAGCAGAGGCGGCTTGAGGGCCCAGTTGGCCAAGTGGGGCGCAGTCGAGCCCAGGACAAGTGGGGGGCGAGGAAGGCCACCTCCTGGTCACATGTCCTGTCTTTCCCGGGGACAGCGCCATTTAGGCAGTGGGTGCTGACTCGCCACACTGAGCGTTCTTTGGAAAGAACTCGTGCTTTAAAAAAAGAAAAAGATGGAAACTTCGTCAGAGCCTGAGATTTCAAAACGGCTGAGATTTCAAAAGGGCGTGGGAAAAAGCAGCACAGGACTCCGTATCTCTTAGGCAAGTTTTAAAGAATCATTATTTTCATTTTTCTCTAATGATAAAACAATACATAGTTACTATGGAGAATCCTGAACAATACAGAAAGGAAGTAACAGTTTTGCACTGAAGGCAGTCGCTGCCAAGCACGTGGGTTTTCTCTCCGGCCTATTCTGGGGTATCATTGCGCCAATTTCCTGCACATGTGGGGTGACCCGACTGTGGACCCCCACAGACGTCTCTCACTGCGGAGTGTGTCCTCGTGCTGCCCCCGCCTTCCTGCCTTCATTCCCACGTCGTTTCAGTCCAGCGTCTCTGCTCTGCAAATTTACTATCTGAAGTTATTTTAAAGCCTGGTCTAAAGCTTTTCTTTCTTTTTATTTTATTTTTTATTTTTTTTGAGACAGAGTCTCTCTTTGTTGCCCAGGCTAGAGTGAGTGCTGTGGCTTCAGCCTAGCTCACAGCAACCTCAATCTCCTGGGCTCAAGCGATCCTCCTGCCTCAGCCTCCCGAGTAGCTGGGACTACAGGCATGCGCCACCACGCCCGGCTAATTTTTTCTATATATCTTAGTCAGCCAATTAATTTATTTCTATTTATAGTAGAGACGGGGTCTCGCTGTTGCTCAGGCTGGTTTTGAACTCCCGACCTTGATCAATCTGCCCGTCTCGGCCTCCCAGAGTGCTAGGATTACAGGCGTGAGCCACTGCGCCCGGCCTAAAGCTTTTTTTAAAGCAATTTTTAAAGGTGACTTTTAGGACAGCAATGAGTTTCTAATCATCAGTTTACGCTTTTACAACTTTTGTGCATCCCAGTTGTCTTCCCCTGAGAAATTGCTGTTTAACTTGTTACGAGATTTTAACACTTGTAAAAAGACCTGACACGAAGAGCTCCCAGCATCCGCCCCCCTGCTGAGACACGTAGCCTGGGTGCTGGCATGCCTGGCACCTCTGACCACAGCCCCCGGCTGAGCTGCTGGTTGGGGTTACATCCCCAACTGCTTTCTGGAATTCTTTTTTGTTTTGAGACAGAGTCTCACTCTGTTGCCTGGGCTAGAGTGAGTGCCGTGGTGTCAGCTAGCCACAGCAACCTCCAACTCCTGGCTCAAGAGATCCTCCTGCCTCAGCCTCCCGAGTAGCTGGGGCTACAGGCATGCGCCACCATGCCCGGCTAATTTTTTTCTATATATTTTTAGTTGGCCAATTAATTTGTTTCTATTTATAGTAGAGACGGGGTCTCACTCTTGCTCAGCCTGGTTTCGAATTCCTGACCTCAAGCGATCCTCCCGTTTCAGCCTCCCAGAGTGCTGGGATTATGGTTGAAGCCACCGTGCCGCCGTGCTGGACAAAGTGGTCATGAACTGAGCCAGTGTGTGGTGTGTGTGTTTCTTGCTGCTCCGCCTGCAGTGAAGGCTTCTTAGCACCTTGCTGCTCCTGTCTACATGCCTCCCAGGGCTGCCGCCTGGGCCGTCCACACTGGCCAGAACCACCCTCCTGGACACTAAGTCCAAGCCCCGCCATGGCCTCGGGCCCTGCGTGTGAGCCCCAACCCCTGCCTCTGCCCCAGGGCCTTTGCCCGCCAGTGCCAGCCCGGGTTCTTCCTGACCGGCTCCTCCCATGCCAGCCCCAGCCCAGCGCTTCACCCACATCCTGCCTCCCCGCGCCTGCCCACCGGAGGGCGTGCGTCTAGCAGTCGCCGCCGACAAGGATGCCGGTCTGGGCCCTGGGAGGGGACTTCAAGTCACACCGAGTTGGGCAGAGCGGCTCCCAGTGGCTCAGCAGTTCTTCCTGTCACTGTCACAGTGTCCCGGGGGCTCTGGCCCCAGCCAAGCCCCTGCACAGGGGCTACAGCCGCCCTCCCGTGAACTAGCCCCCGTCCCTTTCGGCCGGGGTGGGATCCACGCTCCTTCCCAGGTGCTCCCTGCTTCGATGCCCTCTGCCCGCTGACACCACCACGGCCCCGGTCAGCCCCCGGACAGGCTCTGGCTGGTCCCTGCAGAGGCCTCCTGAGGGCCTGTCTTCGGGCAGGGCCTGTGTGGGGTGTGCCGGCCTCCAGGCACTGGAGCCTGATTCTGCCTGTCCTGGGTCCCTCCCCGGGCGGCCTTCCAACCCCAGGCTACACCCCGTCTTCACCAACCCCAGCAAGAGGCACAGGCCCAGCCCCTGGGCCCAGCAGGGGGGGGGCTGACTCAGGCACCCCCAGCACCTCCTCCCAGCACCGGGGCCGCAGCCCCTTAGCCCACCCCTGGGGGCCCCCACAGCCACCCCCACTGGCCAGCACGTGTGCACACCCACACGCACACAAACACGCCCACGGCAGCCTCTGCTCCAGCTCAGGCTGGAGGCTGCCAGGGATGAGTCTTCCTGCTTCACTGAGGAGCGAGCCTCACGCATGCACTTGCTTGCACATGTATGTGCATGTGTTTCTGTGTCTGGGGGACCCGGAGCAGAGCTGCAGCCTGTGCTGTCACCACCTGAGGCTGCACGGCTCCTCCCGGTTGCTGCGGCTCAGCCCAGGCAGGCAGCCAGGCCAGCCTGAAGCCACCATAGGTGCTGACTCAGAGTCACGGCCAGGCCTCCCCAGGTACTTCCCGCCCCCCGCCCCAGCTGCTAGGGCAGCTGTGCACCTGGCGCTGGGAGCCCCGTCCAAGATGCTTGCTGCAACAATCCAGGAAGTTTCAGAGGGCGGCAGGCGCCACTAGCTGAGATTCTTGTCCCCCCGCATGGTCCCAACACCCAAGCAGAGGCCAGGACGCCCACTCCAGGGAGAGCCACAGGGCCTGGGGGCCTGGGCCCACAGCCGTGCCCCTCCCAGCCCCCCTTGCTGGGGCTGTTCTCCTGGGAGCAGCCCCCCTCACACAGGCAGCCCCTAGTCTGGCTTCTGGACAAGGGCTCTGAGGACCAGGCTGACCCGGTTAGCTGACCAAAGCTGACCAAGCTGGTCACCGGAAGCCGCCTTCTTGACTGATGAGTTGCAAAGTGACTCAGGGCGGGGGTCAGAGTGTGGTGAGACTTGCCTCTGACTCAGGGAGGAAGTGGGCAGCCCAGCCTCTGGTGGTGGCTCCGAAACCCTCCTGACACCCACAGGGGCTGAGCCCAGGGAGGGCTGAGCCCAGGGAGGGCAGACCCATCTCTGGACGCAGGAGCGGGGTGGGGGGTGGGAGGGAGGTGCCATGGCACCAAAGTCAGCACCCCCACCCCACCTCCCCGCCAACCTCAGCGTCTGGGCGTTCCGCACATCAAGGCGCCGCCCAGAGGTCCCCATGCCAGGGCCGGGGCCTTGGGGGAACCTGGAGGGGCCTGTCCCTGGCCAGAAAGCCACAGCAGGTGGGCCAGTCGGGGGAGGCCCTGCAGTGGCCAGAAGGGCCCAGGTCCTGGTACCCGCTGACCCCCAAAACCCCCGGAGCAAAGCAGGTGCCCAGCCCGTCTGGGAGGCCTGCTCTGGGACCGAGGCAGGAGGCTCTTCTGGGGGTTCTTCATGCCTTCCGTTCCTCGGGGAACACGAATGGCCCAGGCGGCGCCCCGGCCTCCCAGCGAGCCTTTTCTACAGAGCCTTCAGAGCTCGGAGCGGCTGGGTCGTTTCTGGGCCAGCCCCACCGGGGCCGCGTGGCTGACCGTGGTGCTTCCGGCCGAGCCACCGTGTCCACCCCCCAGCCCCGGCCATGAGCCCAGACACCACACAGACTCGGCTTCAAGTGCTCACAAACACCATGGTGACGAGACTTCCCAGGGCATGAAAGAACCAGACCCCAGTCTCCGAGTCCAAAGCCGTCTCTGGCTGGCAGGAACCCAGAGCGACGCTCGGAGGGAACCCCTGGGGAGCAGCCCCGGCTCCCCACTCGTGCGGGACAGTGCTTGGCCACATCTGGAGCATCAACCGGGTCTCGGGTGGCTCAGGGTCTGGCTGGCTCAGGCCAGGGGGCTCCTCCGGGGGGCCCTCCATGCCCCCCACGCCGGGGCCTCGCCAGCTCTGCGATCCGCCGGTCCTTCAGCTCCACCAGGTGCTCCAGCTTGTCCACCTTCACCTGCAAAATCTTCAAACACACAGATGTGATCAGCAGCTACCTCCGAGGCAGCCCCCATTCCCCATCTGCCAGAGGCTGGGGGGCCGCAAGGCGCACAGCGCTGTCAGACCAAGGCCCTCTTATCAGGACCCGCGGCAGAGACGGACCCTGGGCCCTGTGGGTAGGAGCCAAGGGACCCGGCAGGGCTGGTGTCCGCCTGGCGCCCCTTCCCGCTCCCCAGGGGTTCCCGCCAAGTGTCGCCCTGGTCCCGGCATGCCAGGGCCGCCAGACCTCCGGGAGCCCCTTGCCCTCCAGCCTGTGCCCCGCTTTGCAGCAGCTGGAAGGGCTGGGACTTGGGGCGAGAATGGGGCCCCTCATCACCGAGCGCCTGCACGGGACCTGGTGGGAGGTCAGGGCACACCTGCTGCTCAAATGCTGACAGAGGGACTGCGCCACGGCCGGCCGCACAGGCTGTTCGATGTTTGCCCCTAAGTTAGTAGCCGGGAGGTGCAGGGAGAGCCTCCTGGGGCCTGTGGCCTCCTGCCAAGCACGGCAGCCACCTGTGGTGGCCGCAGCCCACACCTGCCCCTGCTGGGAGCACAGACCCACCGCGCTCTCTCTCGCCAGAGAGAAAAGCGGGAATGGCTGGACTTGAGAACGCTGCTTTGTCCCAAACACGCTGTTTCCAGGGTGAAGTCCACGGCATGATGGCCCACACCACACACACACAGCGGGTCACGGCAGCCGCTCAGCGGACCACGGCCCCACACGCCTCATGGGCCAGGCCCCGTGGCGCCCTCGCTCAGGGACAGACTGCAGAGGCTGGCACGCTGAGGAGCACTGTCCCTCGAGCCCAGCCAAGGGCACTCAATCGTGCCACTGTCCCAAAGGGCAGGCTGAGCTGTGTCCCCTCCAGGTTTCGTGAGACGAAACAGTCGCGGTTGGCTCTGCCAGCGCACGAACGTGGCGGCGGCAGCGGCTTCACTTCCTCCCTGCCTCGTTGGGCAAGGCCGGAGCCACACAATCACATCACTTTCCTGCTTTCTCAGGAAAACAGCTCACCGAGGTTCTAGGGCCCGCTCAGGAACTGCGACAACCGCAAGGCCCGTCCTGCGCACCCCCACCCCGTGCGCCGTCCTGAGGTGCAAGCGTGGCGAGGGGCTTCCTCACACAGGGCGCTGGGGCACCTGGCAAAGCAGAGGCACAGGTGTGCGCTCACGGAGCCCCGTGGGCACTGCAGACCCCCGTGCTCACCAGGAACCCCAGGCTGGGTGGGGCTTCCCGGGTCCCTCCGGCTAAGCCTCCCGTGCCTGCGGGGACAGGAGGAAGGGCTCATTGTGGGCTGGTGCCAGCAGCCCCTCCCCACCCACTTCCCTTGCTCGCCAAGGGACGGTGGACCCGCTGCTCCCTGACCTGGGCCCCTGTGCGGCCTCACTGCAGACCCACGGGCACGTGGGGACTGAGCAGGACGCCTGGCACTCTGGGTGGTGGTGCCTGCGGCCTCACTGCAGACCCACGGGCACGTGGGACCCGAGCGGGACGCCCCGCACTCTGGCTGGTGGTGCCTGCGGCCTCACTGCAGACCCACGGGCACCTGGGGCCCGAGCAGGACGCCCACACTCTGGGAGGTGGTGCCTGCGGCCTCACTGCAGACCCATGGGCACGTGGGGCCCTGGGCGACAAGGCAGGAGAGGGCTGGTGAGCACAGGGGCCACTGTGCCCTTCCCTCTGCCTCTGGAAGTGGCAGGAACATGCCAGCCAGGTTGGTTCCTAAATAAACTGAATGCAGGTTCTTCCCGGCCAGGGATCCCGTCTGCCTCACCCACCACCATCACCCACACGTGGTGCCAGGGCGGTCGGCCCCTCTGCCTCCCAGCCCGTTAGCCCATGGGGTGTCGAGGCGGCCAGGGGCGTCCGTACCTTGACCATCTCCTGCAGAATGGCCAGTGCCTGCTCCTTGTCCTCCAGCAGCTGCCCCCCAGGGTCCGGGAACTCCCAGGGCCCTCCGGCTGGGTCCCAACTGGAAGGCAGACCCCTGGCTGGAACCCAGCTGGCTCGGAATGGGGAGGACGGGAGGGGACAGGACGTGGGGACGTGGCGGAGGGTGGGAGAGACAGGGACCCACCCTCTGCAGGCGCAGCGGCCCATCTTCTCCGGAGCACTCTCGTTCTGAGTGGTCTTCATGCTGGAGGGGGCTGGGGGGCTTGGCAGGCCTGCATGACAAATGGGACCCCTGAGCTCAGGGGCTCTCCTCAGAGAAGCCCACCCAGCAGCAGTACCACAGGTGGGGGACACAGGTGTCTTAATGCCCCTAATATCGTGTCCTCTCAGTGCAGCCTGGATGCCTCTGCCTGGCTTCCTCGTCTAGGGTGTCACTTGAGCAGCCGCCCTGCATGGCCCGGGGCTCCCACCTGGCTGCTGTCTGGGTACCTCTGCAGCTCTGTGCCCTGAGGCCAGCAGGGCCCCCCAGGCCCTGTGTGCACCTGAGCACACCTGCCCTCCCCAACAGGTGTGTGAACTGGGAGGCCCTAGAGGAGGCCCGGGGGGGTTTGGACACTACCGGCGCGCGTAGGGGTGGTGAGGTCTGCCCAGGGCTGGGCGGCATCGGCGCCATAGAGTCCTGACCCTGCAGACTATAAAAATTGTGAAGTAAGACACCAAGTAGCAGAGACACACGTCCCCACGGCCAACCCCTCTGCTGGGGTCCCCAGGCACAGACTCCCCAGCAGAGGGTGGGGACAGTGAGCAGACTGGGGGTGGGGCACAGCTGGGGCTGTCCTGGCCTCAGAGGAGCAATTCCGGTGTTTTCTCTGCCCTGAGGCTGGAGGGTCAGGCTGGGAAGGGCCTAGAAGGTCTGGGGAGGCTGCCAGCAGCACCACCACATACGTGAGCCGGGCAGGGGCTGTGGCCTCACATGTGCATTGAGCTGCGGTCTGGCCCACAGGGCCCGGGGAGCAGGGACATTTATTTCGTGGCTTTATTCTCTCATAGACGAATTACGTGAAGACACAGCGGGTTTGCAGGGCGTACACCTTTGCACCAACACATACCACGGCACCGGGCAGGTCCGTGTGGATAGCGCCACCCTCAACCTTCTCCCGCAGAGCACACAGGATGGGCTCCACGGCCCCGGGCGTGCTGGCCACCACCTTGCGGATGTCTGTCTCTGAGACACAGAAGCTCAGCCTGTGAAAGACTTTCCTGCAGAGGAAGCAGGCACAGCCCTCAGAGCAGCGCACCCCTGGGGTCAGGCGCAGGTGCCCAGCTTTCCTCAGAGGGGAGAGGCTGGGACTGGCCCCCTGCACCCCCAGAGGTCCAGCAGCCATCTCATTCCCAGCCCTGATGGGTCGGTGTCCCATCTGGGATCCCCAAATGCTTGATGCCGGGCAGGCCCCCCAGGCCAAGTCTCAGGGACGCTCCACCCTCCTCCTGCCTCACAAATGCCCTTTGCTCCTCCAGTCCTGTTGGCCGCCTCCAAAGAACCTGAAATCTGCCCTCTTACCAGGGCCAGGGCCAGGGCCAACACCTGCCTGCAGACAGGCCCTCTCACACCTGGGTTAGGGCAGCAGCCTCCCCCTGGCTGTAGCCCTCTGAAATGCAAGTCCTAGCAGAGGCTGGCCAGGCCTCAACACCTGCAGGGCCCACAGCCCACCTGGCTGGAAGCCCTGTCCTCGTCCTCCACCTGACCTCAGGCCCCTGGGCTGCCCCAACTCCCCACCTACACAGGCTTTCCCCTAAGCACCCCCACAAGGACTCTGCCTACTCTACTGCAGCCTCCCTGGCACCCCTAGTTGGGCCCTTTGCTCACTGCCACCTTCTCAAGGGCCCTCTCTGACTCCTCCACCTCCGATCTCAGTCGGCTGGATCCCGGCACATTGATCTTCACGTCCCTCCTAACCCAATTACACTTCACTGCTGCTCTCCAACCCTGAGACTGCTCCACGAAGGCAGGGACCCATCCCCTGCCGTGTCTGCTGTGCCAGAGCTGTGCTAAGGAGTGGGGGACGGACTCCAATGGGGCAGGGCTCATCCCCACAAGGGATCCCCCAAAAGATTCCTGGCGGACAGGACACAGGCACTGAAGAGGGTATCAAGGTAACCCACAGCTGGGAAACTTGTCCCAGAGAAGCTGTGGGAGAGGCTCTGGCCAGCCGTGCAGGGAGGGGCCTGCAGAAAGCAAAGAGTGCCAGTAGTTCCCCCCAGGAAGGGCAGGAGACCAGGGCCGGGGGGGCTGGGCTGCCTGCGCCCCCTGCAGCCCTTGCCTGTTGAGAATGTGCCAGTTGCTGAGCTTCTGATCCGTGTTGCAGGTAGGGGTGTAGTTGTGCAGGTCCACGAGCCGGGGGTGGAAGTGCTTCACAATCTCCGCCAGCATCACTGTGAGGGGTGGGGGCGCAAGCTGAGCCTGGCCTACCCGGCTGAGATTCCTCCCTTGTTTCCTTATGTCACCCCCGTCCCCCATGGCTCTTGGGTTGGATGAGAACAGAAAAAGGAGGCAGGAGAGGAACAGGCTTGTCCCCAGGGATGCTGGGCCCCTGCGCCCGGAGGCTGGGAGGGCCCGGAGGCTGGGAGGGCCCGGAGAAGGACCAACAGGGCGGGAGCTGCCCGCGGGTGTGGGTGCCCAGGCTAGGGGGCTGTGCGACGCGCAGCTGCAGGCAACCGAGTCGGCCCACCCTCCTGCCGCGCAGTCTCCGGCACCCTAACCCTAACCTCCCGCCCGCTCTCCGGCACCCTAACCCTAACCTCCCGCCCGCTCTCCGCCGCGGGGCCCCTCGCAGCCCGGACGGCGGCCCGGCTGGACGGAGAGCGCAGGCCCGGCCGCTCCCGCCCCCGGCCGCCCCCACGAGTCCCGCGGACGCGTCCCCACCGCCGTCGCTGAAGTCCCGGGCCAGACGGCGCTTGGGGCGGCTGAGCGGGAGCCCGTCCAGCCAGGCGTAGAGGCTGCGGAGGGCGGCGGGGCTCGGCAGCCCGGCGTCCAGCATGGCGGCAGGTTGCGGAGCCGTTGCCCGGCGACGGAGCCGGAAGAGGCGGGGCGCGGGCTGGTTGAGCGGCCGTTGCCGGGCGACGGGGCCGGAAGGGGCGGGGCACGGGTCTTTCGGCCTGTAGCTACAGTGTAGTTGCAGGTGCGGGTTCTGGGTCTGCCCAAAGCTGCTCCCTGCCGGAGGAGTGGGGCTGTTTCCCTCAGGCGGAGGGTTTAGGACTACAGTGCGGGGAGGGAGGAAGGTAGACGTAGGTTGACCCGATCTATTCGCAGTAGACGCTTGAACAAGCGCGGGACCTTCAAGTCTCGCACATTGGGCTTCACGTGGCTTAGCAGGCACCTTCCCACCTGGCTCGTAAGTCTCGGCGTTTAGAACCTGGTCAATAATTTATTGGTAAAACAGAAATTTTTTTAAAGAGTGAACCATACTTCAATTTATTGGCATTGTCAATTTATGAACAAGATAGTATTTTTTTTCCATGAAGTGAGATCGTTTCCAATCTGCCATAACATGTGCCCACACATCTTCACCTTGGAAATGTGGCATTTCAAGCAAGGTAGATCATTCCTTTTTCACTCTCACAATTTTTACGTTGCTGCCAGAAGTCTTCTCGGCACTTGCTTTGAATTCTGCCTTCAGTGCATCTCTCACTGCTTTTGCACAGACCTGGGAGTATCGGATGTAGCTAAGTCCCGCCTGTCGCCAGTACGCCACCATGATGTCGCGAGAGTGCAGCCCGTCGGCCGAATTGCGAGGACACCGTAAATCCAGAAATGTTTCATTATTAAGGGATGAAAGTTTGCACCTGAGGTTTCAAGAGAACCAGACAAGACAGCTGAGCCCCCGCGGCCCTATAAATAAGTGACTTCGAGGTGTAAGCGCAGGAGTCCTTGCACACACACACACACACACACACATCTGGGTGGGCCTTTTCCTTCTTAAATCGCATGGGAAAGTGGCTCAAAAAACTAAGGGACTTGGAGTCTGGCTGTAAGTGCATTCCACACACTGACACCCTCTGCAGAGGAAACCTGAGCTTGGGCTGGGGCCCCGCCTGGGAGGTGTCTTCCTGGCGATGCACCATATAATACGCATGCCTGGAACCGGGAGGTGCCCAGGGCAGCTGGGAGCTCAGCAGGCGTGGGAGCAGGTGCAGAGACAGTTTGGAGGGGTGCGTTCCTTGTCTCCTGAACACGCTGAGGTCCCCAGCCTGGTGACTGCAGACATGTAGCGGTTAAGCGTGGCCAACCCTATGCACTCCTGAGGTCAGAACAGCGGCTGAGAGTCTAAACGCAGAGTCTTGAGCGGAGAGGCTCTGGCTGTGGTCCTGGGACATGGAAGAGTGTGGCTCTTCCCTTGTGACTTCTCCAAAGTTCCAGATGGGTGCACAGATGTCCCCCCTACCCACGGTGCTCTTGGAGCTCTGGCCCCATCACTTCCTCTGGACAGGGGGTTTCAAGGCAACCTTTGGGCCAGCAATCTCCTTGGAGGAGGAAAAGAGAACGGATATTAAAAATCACCAGGACATGTAAAGGGTACAATAGGACATTTCTTAAAATGTGGATTCTTAGTTCATCCAACAGTGCGTTGGCATGGCCCACAGGGTGGTAGCTGTCTAGTCACATTATTGATAGCTCATTTTATGTAAGGATGGACTTTCTTACTCGCACCAGCCGGGGAAAGAAAGGCAAAACCGACTGGCAGTGGCAGCAGCGCCTGCTGAAAAGTCCTCTGACCGATGATCATAAAGTAGACGCTAAATAAACCTATAACTGATGTTTCCCATTTTTTTTGAAATAATCACCAAGGTTTATCAGCTGATAATTTGAAGACAGCTCAGCTCTCTCTGCTGCCCTGGCACAGTAGATACTGCCCTGTGTGTGCCTGGGGGTGGGCCTCACCTGTGTGTGCCTGGGGGTGGGCCTCACCTGCGTCAAACCAAACTTGGCCCCTCCAGCCCCAGGCTTGGCTGGTGGCATCGGGGGTGCAGAGGTCGGCTTGATGATCTGGAAGATAAATGGATACAGCTGACAGGACACCCCTAAGTGGTCCAGGCCCTTGCCCTGGGCCCTGTTATCCCCAAGCCCAAGGGCCTGCAGGCTCTGCCTTTTCTGGGCTCTCTACAGAAAAATCCTGGTGCCTGGCTGGCCTGAGGCCTGCGGTGTGAAGCCCAGTGGGTACAGCCAGGGCCCTAGTGAATCACATCTGAGACCCTTTCACTCGCCCAAAGCCCCCACACCCAAGGGAAGTGCCATGATGGGCTGTCCAGGCCTCTTACCTGCTTGGGCTTGAGCTGTGGGAGGGGCTTGGTGGGCGGAGCAGGTCTGAGCTGCAGGAGGAGGAAGAGTCAGGACCCCAGGAACCAGCCCCCCAGGCACTGAAGGGCCCTGGACTGTGCCCAGCGAGGCCACCTGAGTCTCTGCTTCAGTTCAACATCCTCGAGGACCAGGCTAACCAGCTCTCTGTGCAGCAGCTGCTACCCTGGGGTCCCTGCCCCTCCCTGCAATGCCCTCCATAGACACGGGACCTCCTCCCAGCAAGGCCTGGACGCCCCCCACCTGCTCACCTGCCCTGGCTCCTGCCGGGTGTAGACAGGAACTGAGAGGGGTGTACTGGACACAGCAGCAGGAGGCTGTAGGGGACAGGGCCATGAGCCTGGATTGGGGACAGCCTCAGAGCTGAGCCCGCCCATTTCACCAGGCATCCCCCAGCCCCAGCCCCCCAACCGAGGTTCCTGCATTGCACAGAGAAGAAGGAATGAAGCCCTCTGGGTCTGCTTGGGGGTCTGCCCCGGCCCCCAGCCCCTGCCCCATCTTTTCCCTTGGTCAAGTGGATGCACAACCAGAGCTGGAGAGCCCAGGTGCCTGCAGCTCAAAACCATCCTCAGATGGATCCTGTTGAGGCCAAGAACGACCTTTGCTGGCCTCAAAGCCACAAGTTCAAGTTCAAACTCCAACTCCATCATAATTTTTGCAGGTCCTTGGATAGCCCATCATAAAGCCTCAGTTTCCCTCCCAATGGGGTGATCACAGCAGCTGCTCTCAGCCCCAGGGCCACCCCACAGCCACGAGTTAATTTACACAAAGGGCCTCGAGGGTCCCATGGGCAGCACCCCAGGATGGGGGCCTGGAGGTCTGGGAAGGCCCCTCCCTGCCCCGTGACCCTGCCCGGGATGTACTTACAGCAGGGGGTGGCCTCTTTGGGGTCACTGCAGACACCTGGGTTCTGGGGGGCTGGCTGGGGTGGGTGGTAGAGGCCAGCACTGAGGGGCCCTGTGTGGGGGCTGGGGCCCCACCCTTGGCTGGCTTGCTGCCATCACCCTGGTGGAACAGGGGGTTGAAGAGCCCCACGGTACTCTTGGGTGCCACGTTCCTGGGGAGGAAGCACAGAATGAGTTGGTGCCCTTGGGGTGTCCCGGCCATGGGGTTCCCAGTACTGCACCCTGAGTCTGGCTGGGGTCCCCCAGTGCTAGCGGGCCTGGCGGCAGGCTGCAAGGTGTACAGTCACAGCCAGAGGGGAGGAGCAGTCCTGGGAGATGGGGTCTGGTCCCTGAATAGAGAGATATATCTCGTGTCCCTGGGCCCAGGCAGCGGGTGGGAGGCCCCTGGGCTCCTGTGTCTGGCTATGGCCAGCCTGGGCTGAGGTCCCCACAGACCGGGGCTCAGGGTGTGGCAGGACGCAGTGAGTGTGCAGGGGGCCGGCTGGGGGTGCCCAGTCACACCTCTCTGGATTTACCACACTCCCAACCTGCCCCAACACGGGCACTTGTTCTGGCCTTGGTGACAGGCAGAGGCCCAGGGCAGCACCACGGCCCAGGGCAGCGCCACGGCCACGTGGAGCCCAGGACCCTCCCTGTGCTCAGCCCAGGCCCGCCTGGCTTGGGTCTGGGGGATGGCACCAGCGGCTGTCCGCTGGGTGCCCGAGTACCCCCACCATGGGCCTGCTCCACAAAGTGCTGGCGTCTCTTCCTCAAACAGCGGCAGACGCCATTTCCCAACAGCCGACCACAGGAAGTGCCGCCACACATGCTGACGTGTCATAACCCCGTGTGTCCTTACCTCTGGGCATGGCTCCGGGCCTTGCAGTGGACAATGACGCCTGCCAGGATGACTGCCACGGCTGCCACGGCTGCCAGGAGCCCCAGAGCCACCAACACACCGACAGGGAGGCTCCCAGACTCTGCAGGACACGTGGCCATGTCAGCAGGGGCAGGACCACGACCTGAGGCCACGGAGGCAGGGAGGGCACGAGAGGGGCGACCTGGGCCCCCAGGGGCCCCTAAGGCTACACCGGCCCCAGAGCCCACTCCTAGCCAGTGGCTGCAGACCCCTCGGTGGGGGACCTGTCGGGCTGCCCCAGCGCTCTTGGCTCTCCAGGACAGATCAGAGGGCGTGGCCGTGAGTGGCCCCAGGGTCTAAAGTGCCACAGGCCAGACTTGGCCCTTGAGGCCTGGTGCTGTGGACGGTGGCTCACCAGTGGCCACTGCTGAGGAAGACACTGTGTGGTGGTGGCCCTGGGGTCCCCAGGCAGCGAGGGGCTGGGGGACTTGTGTGGGCATGTCACCCCCTGTGGTCCCGGCACACAGCTCTGCTGGGGTCCACTCGCACAGTGTGCCGTGGATCCCGTCTGGGGGCCCTGTGAGCCCAGGCTGTGCGGCGTGGAGCTCCTGGGGTGGTCCGAGCCCTACCTGCCTGCACGTCCGTCAGCAGCTTTTTGCAGTGGGGTGGGGCCCAGCCCGGGTGGCAGTGACACTCCTTCTTGTGGTTGCACACCTGGAGGGACACCAGGTTCAAGGCTGGGGGCCCCGGGGGCAGGCCGTGCCTGCAGCACACGGGCCGCACCAGCCCCACCCTGCTGAGGGCCCCCATGCCCTGCTGCATGTGCCGACCACGGGGCCTTGCTGGGTGGCCTCTCCCTGCTGCTCGGTGACAGCACGGGTGCTGTCCACCGAGGTCGCCTGGGCCTGCCTCTGTCCCAAGCTGGGCTGTGCCAAGACCCCACTGGTGGACACGCTGGGCTTGTCCGAGCCTTGGGCTCCCACGTCCAGATCGGCCACTGCCAGCTGTTCTGTGAGAGGAGCGGCAGCCATGGCCTCGCTCTTGGGGCAGTGGGCGGGGACTGTCCCGTGAGGCCACACGTACCCCGTGGCCGTGGCACTGGGC